AAACTATTCGCCTTGGGAGGAAGCGCGGTGAATTTAGTTTCCAATTTGCAATCTCAAGTGATTTCGCCATTATGCTTATGGAAAACCACTTACAGGTACTCACTCTGCAAGACTTCTTTCGAGAAGACGACGTATTCATTGCTTACGGCAACGAGAGAGCTAGCGCCGACGATTTTTACGTAATATCAGAAGGTAATCGATTATCCCTCATCTATTTCCTAAGAGTTCTCGATCGAGATCTGAGGAATAGTTTACGTTGAATCATCAGACGATACCACTTAGTGGAGAATGATTAGTCACTGTGACTTTGACCGGTTTATGATAGATGGAAATGACTATCAAGCGAGTTCGAAGAAATCGATCAGGTCACTCTGCTATATGATTCCATCAAATCGTTGAGTTTCGTCGGTGCCTGTTCATTTTACCTGTTCTTCGACATTCTTCTCAACGTGCCTTTGTCACGGGGTAACGTTTCCCTCCGTCCGATATTCTCTGATTTGGTATATCGTAGTTGTTTCGGGTGAAATTCATGGTGAAGAAAGTCCGACATCCACGTAGCCGAAATGATCCACTTAGTAAGTTTACACCGTTTCATCGGAGGTTTTTCTTGAAAGGTGATTGCAATTGTTTGCTGATCACCGTACCGTTGCTTTACACCACAATCTGTTTTCGCATTTCTAGGACAAGGTGTTGGGGTGGCTAGTTTAGCTTCATTGATTTGTTCCGATATTCCGATTAGATTTATTGATTAATGTTGAATTTCCCTCAAAAATCAATACGCAGCCTAATTAGTTTTTCGCTACATGCTTTATTTTCTTGTGGATTTCTCTAAAATTATGGTAAGCAGTAAAGTTATCGGCAGCAATTTATGCGTTGACTGAGTTTTTTTTACAGTCTGGCCGAGACGGCTGTATGGACGAAATTTTCAGTATTGGTTGCAATATTGACTTTCTTAATGTGCCGACTCACCAAAAATGCACGGTGCTGTCGAAATTTTCCGAAATTTCTAGATATTATCGTTTGCGAACTTGTAAATCAGTTCTTTCCTCCCATGTATAACAAAATTCTGATGTATAAATCATTACAGGATATAATAATGGAGTTTTTTTTGTTTCAAATAAATCGATTTACTTCAGATATAACCAAGAAACTTAATTTTTTTATTGAAGGCTAGCGCACTTGCTACTTTCAGAGTACAAACGGCTCTATTCTGGTGGTATACGTCGAGGCGGTCGGCGTGGTACCACCTCTCGTCCACGAGTAATGCCAGCTCGAAATGAAAGTCTACGAGATGATCGTTGCGGTAGTGTGGTACCGGATGAGTTGGGTATGTTTCTCTCTGGCTAAGCCCTTTTGTTTTATCATTGGTAATTTTCTATCTTTCTTTTGTTTTATTGTTTGTTTCTTAAAATGCATGGTTATGATTCATGGAGTTCTATAGATTGATCAGTCTCATCCAAACGTACTCTTCACCCCTTTTTTTCTCATCCCTCTGTCCCTTTGTCTCTGTTCTGCGATCACGATCTGACGTTCTAGTCTTGACGCAACTTTGCTCGAATCAAGAAAAAAAAAAGATTCGATACCCTTTCATCAGCAACAAATAGTGAATGATTGTGCCACTTTGTTGTTATCTATATATATTTTTATTAAATACAAAAATGATGTAGTGGTCACTACTTTTGAGATTTGCTTCCTGTTGCGATTAGAAAAATGTTTAAAATAATGAGATGAGTTCGTTACTTTGCAAAATGTGTCCCAAATTTGCAGCGCGCAATCTTCCCGCTGAATTAGACGAAAAGTTCTCAGTGCTACGATTGCTCGGCGACGGTAATACCGCCCTTGTCTACGAGGTCATGAAAAGTTCTCAGTGCTACGATTGCTCGGCGACGGTAATACCGCCCTTGTCTACGAGGTCATGGATCGGTAAGTTCTCTCGAACAGATTTTCTTCTTTTATCCATACTCTTTATAACTGCTATCTTATATATTGCGGATTTTCTTTGTGGATTCTATGAACTTTCGACTGTTATCGTCACTTCTTATGGAATGTTGTTCAGACGGACACAAGAACATGGCGCGTTGAAAGTGATCGCTCGCGATTCGGCCGTTGGAAAGATTGCCTTGATTGAAAGCGAACTGGCCATCATGAAACGTATCGAACACCCATTCATTGTGAAAATGTTTGACGACTGGACGATTGATGGCGCTTATTACCTGTCACTGGAACTGGTTGAGGTGAGAGCGCGTTTTTGTTCTCATCACTTCACTGGGAGGTCGTAACTTTTCTATGAACTTCTTGTATTTGCATGTTCAAGTTTTAGGTATTATACTAATTTGATGACGGGGAAATGAGGTAGAATGGAAATTTTAAGCTCTAAATGGAGTTTTTCCCCGCTATCATTGAATGTTTTTTNTTTTTTCTGCGGTCATACGAAACTGTTTTCCTATCAGACTTATTCTCTCTCGACGTTTACTGGCTGTTGTTGAAAAGACTCTAATTCATAGAAACCTATTGCAAATGTTTTCATAGCCGTTATTCTCATGACAGGCCGATGTATTACTTACTGGCTCAAAATATTGCTCCATTTTCAGGGTGGAGATCTATTCGAACATCTCTGCGTCGTGAGGCGGGTAAATGAACATCAATCTGCCCGCTTAACAAAATGCTTGGTACAGGCGCTGGCGTGAGTAGTTGACCTTGTTCTTTGAAATGTTTTACACAAATGCCGCATGGTTATTTGTCTTATTTTTCATTTCTCCAGTAATGAAGCGATGTAAAGGTAATAAAAAATGTGTTGTACGCACCGATCTATTTGGTTGATGCGAAAACATTGAGATACAAGTTGCCATTGTCGTCGTTTTTCTACGATAGCATTATCGCCAGTAAAATCCAGATAGTTCCCAGAAGCTTTTCTCGTAAACCATTCTAACCACTCGGTCTTCTATGAAGGTGCTGAGGCTGCAGTGCTCCAATATTGGTTCCGCTGCCTCCATCATCAACATTGCATCCGGAGAAGACCTCGTTAGACAAGAGAACGCCAAGTCGTTTATTCGCTCGTTTTCTATCTGGACCTACGACGCTCGACGACGATCTTCGTCGAGACGGTCAGATGCTGTCGTGACCGCTTCTTAGCGAAGTGAAGACGAGGCCGGAGATCACGAGCGGAGAGTTGGCAAGGCTTTTTGGGTCCGGTCGGAGCAACGTCGTTCGGCACCTTAACGAACACCATTACAGGGAAGTTTTTGCTTGACGATTCCGCAACAAACGACTGGCACTCTCCTTCACACGCATGTCTTATCAGCCAGTCCTCCTCACTTTCAAACCGAAGCAGCTTATGCAGGATATTCTAAAGGAAGTTCAGAGCTGGATCCCCTATAACAACAACAAGACACCCACTGTCTGACTTCCAAGTGGAGAATATCCGTCTGCGTCGCCTGGGCCAAAACTTCGTTCGAGGAATGTTCCATGTGCTAGACTTGGAACCATGTTTACGTTACATTAACTTGACTGGGAACCGTTTCGCACTCTCCTTATTCCGCTGACCTAGCCCCTTAACTATCTCCTTTATGGGCACTACAGGCAGTACCCGACCCAGAAAAATCTAGTTATCTCAAAAATTATGTGGCTGACTTTTCTGGCTCACAGCCCTTTCGTTCCTGGGAGAAAGGAATAGCCAACTTCCCGCTTCTTGGACGAACATCATGGGTAAAGGTGGTGATGGTGTAGTTCGATAAAAGAGTGTTTGAATAAAGCCCAAACGGAATCTGAAATATCGATTCGTGTATCTCAGGACTTTTGCATCAACCTATGTGGGAAATTCGAAAGACATTTGATTGTTTGTAAAAGTGAATAGCAAAGTAGCTCTTGCTCTGTAATCCTGTAACTTATTCTTTTATTATTACTTTTATTCGTCATTATGGTGGTTTGTTTTCGTTCTTACGAGCGTACTTTGTATATTTAAATTGATCAACCATCCAGATCTTAGCGTATACATCCGATCGGAATGATTTTTCATTTTTCAGGTATCTTCACGACAATTCAATAGTTCATCGAGATGTGAAACCAGAAAATCTACTTGTAAGCTCTAACTATCAAAGTCTTTTATGTTTACTTATTTTGCGATTTTATTATTTGTTACACTTTCAGCTCTATACTGGTCCTCATGGCGAGTTTGAGCTGAAACTGGCAGATTTTGGTTTGGCCACCGAATTACCGGAAGATGGAGGGAAATTGACGGTGATCTGTGGCACTCCAACTTACGTAGCATCAGAGGTTATTCTAGAAACCGGGTAAGTGGCAGTGTTTCGATTCGTATTCGCTGGAGGTTTCTACCTTTTGCTCCTTTGAACTCGTACTTTTTGCCTTACAATTTCTCTTAAAGATTTTGTGACTTTGCTTAGTCGTAACTTCCTTTTTCCAGTTACGATGAGAAGGTTGATATTTGGGCGACTGGGGTGATCTTGTACGTGATGTTATGCGGATTTCCACCTTTTCAAAGGTATGCAAACTCATTCCCGGTTGATATTCTTTAAAAGTCCTTTCGCTGCAAGTTTGAAAGCTTAAATTTATCGAATTTTAAATTTTTGATTTTATGAGTTTTTCTCTAATCATTGATTTTCTGTTTTTTTTGAATATCTTTCTTAAGGTTTCCCAATCACCACAAATCTCTCCATTATTCCGTTCATTTCTTTTCTCTTTTGATACAATTTCACGCTTGCGTATGATTGTAGTTTACCTTCATTTTCCCATTTTTTGTGATGATTTGACCTTCAAGTGTGAGACATTTAGTGATTCGTCGAATTGATTACAAAGTGTCAGTGCTCTGTACTGTGGTGCTAGCTGCTTTTAGTTTGGTGAAATGTTTTCGAAGCAGACGAGAAAATGACATTTCATATGGGAAGGGATCTGATGAATAGAGAGTGATGGGTGATTGTTTGGTGGGATTATACTAAAATTACTTTCTCGAAGGTTTACTTTACTGTTGTTACGAGGTGGTCATAAAACGATTGATGCTTTGCTAATTAATTAATTAATCGACATAATGCTGCTGCTATTTTCGATATTGTGTTGGTTCCTCATATAAGTTCTAAAAGATGATCCTGCCATCTTGCCTTAAAATCTTTGGAGTTTCAGCTCCGACGGGTCTCAAGACGATCTATTTGCTCAAATAATGCGTGGTCGAGTCAGCTTTCCTTCGCCGTCATGGGATAAGATCTCCGCTTCTGCAAAGGCTCTCATTCTGCTACTCGTAAATACTGATAAAGAGGAGCGATTCTCTGCTCATGACGTGTTGGACAACCAGTGGATTAAGGTTGGTCACTCTATTTCATTTAAGAGTTTTTCTTTTTTTTTNCATTTCTGTACCAATTTTGGCCTTTTCCAGTAGACTTGTCCTGTTGAAGTTTGATTCCACTTTTTTTCCTTTTTAGTTTGCTTATGACCAATTTCTTAGCTGTAATTAGTTTGTCTGGGTTTGTTGTCATGCTCTCCATTGTGCTAATGAAACAAATTGCATTAATGCCGTATTCCAGACCTTGTCCGATGTTCCATCAGATTTCGAATCGATGGCAGAATTTATAGTCGAGTCAAGAATAGATGCAGATGTGAGTTTTCTCGAGCAGTTATTCTTTCGTTCGAATTCCGCACATTTCTTTGGTTTTTGAGTCGTCAGCTGTTCATGAGCGAATTTGCTAAAGTTGGGCAAGTTTGCGTTAGTATTTGTTCATGAGGACTCATGAGGCCTTGACAGTTGAAGTTTCTGAGTTTCCTTTAGTATAACGAGTCTGACCTAATGAGAAAAAGTTTTCTGTACTTGCTTTTTCCTGGAATGATAGGTCAAACATCAGAACTTTTGTAACATATTTTTGGCACGTTTTCCTTTTTACTTCTATATAGTAAGGACCTATTCCGGCCGTTTTATGTGATACATTAAGCTTTTTTAGCCCACATAGGGTTGATCTTTTTGTCTCTTTACGCCTTCTCTGCCATCCTTTCGCGTAACCTTCACCATTGACTAGTTTTCCGCTTCTGGTATTCCGCTTTCCGGTTCTTGCGTGCTGGGTTATTAGGTTGTGCTGTGCACTTCTGATACAAAAAGGAAGTGTCTTATTAAAACTAACCTTGAGCAAGTCGTAAAGCTTTCAAAGATTGGTGTTGTCGGAAAGAGGCGTGTCTGACGGTAATCACTGAAAGAAAAACAGCCAAGGCTGTCTGGGTCGAGTGAAGTTTCTCTTACTTCCGGGAATTGTTAAAAACCCTTAAAAAGGACTTTTCGAAATGGAGTTTTCGTAGGTGACAGCTGGTCCAACATGTTTCCCAAGGCGTCCACAATTTTACCTTATAATTAGCTGAGGATTTAACCGACCATCTCACGATTTTGCCTCATCTTTTGTATTTTATCTGCTTTTCACACTTATAAAGGGATTTGCTTTTGAGGAATAAAGCAGAGTTGCATTTGAGTAATGATGTTTGCAATAGATCTAACATAACTTTTACTAGTTATTCTTTTTATCATGGATAAGATTTGCTTTATTAAAGGCTGATGTCGAAGAAACGGATCGCGAGTACTACATGAGTCGACGAACCAGTATGGACGATTTAAGCGAAAGTGGACGAGCAGATAGTTATGAGTTCACATTTTCGAGGAATTACAGCTAGTACCGGTGATGATGCTATTGATTGTATTTGAAAAAAAGGTCGAGCAGGAGCTGTTTCGTAGAGGCTTAGCAGCGGGTAAGCTCGTCCAAACTTACCCCCTTAGATCAGGGATGTGTGAAGAAATCGAGGTTCCACTTTTTTTTCTCGCCTTCTTTCTCCTTTGCGGTGTTTAATTTATTCATGACGGACTTGGTATTTTTGCTTTACATTTGAATTACGTCTTTTTTCGCACATCTCTGAAGTAATGTTCGTTTCGGTGCTTATTGTCCGCTACAACTCCTGTTGCCGTCGTTGCTTTGATACGTTATGAGCCTTGTTTCAACTCGACATTAAGTACTTTCGAATTTTGTCCCCAGACTTTCCCCAGACTTCGCGATAATTCTTTATTTTTTTCACTTTTCGTCGATAGCTATTTGAGACTTATCGCTTGAATTGGAATACCGTAATTAGGACGCGTGAAATTCCGAAATTAGGTGGCTTTTCCTTGCGCGAAAAATTCCTGCCTGATATTTGACAGTGCATAATTTTACAAAATTTTTTATTGCAAGTATTCGACAAAAGAAACATGCATGCTTTGATTAATTCCGACGGTCGGCTCGATACATATGTTTTGCATGGACGGCTGGCTGCAAATTCGCTGACTATAAACATAACCAAGGGGCGTCCCGTTTCAGTGACCCCCTCTTCGTCTCCGTTCAGTTCAATTGGTGAGATATGTGTAAGTGTGTATAATGTGTGACTCACCTTCTCATGCTGCTCATTTTAATCATCATGCTTTCTAGTCAATTATTATTAATATTACCGTATGCTAATTAATGCTCCACCCCTGTTAAGTCTCAATCATGCGACACGTTGTCAATTTACGGCTATATGAACGATCGATTGGATACGTTTTATTTTAATAATTTATTGATTGTTTTACTCTTCAATCAATTACCATTCTTTTGATAATCTGCTCTCACATCATGCGGCGTACCTGTGCAGTAATTTGGAGTCCTCTCTTTCTGGGACAATGTACAGTATGTCATGTCGATCGTGGTCGCTCGTGTGGACAATTTTTATTTTTTTTTTGTATAAAATATTTTCTTGATAAAAGAAAGTGAACTCGCCATAATTGTTTTGTTATACTCCTTAAGGTTGCGTTTTTTAGGTGTATTTGTGTGTTACAGAAAGAGTTAAGGCCTTCTGATTCACTCCCGTTTTCGATGTCATTGCAATGAGTCGCCGATCGTTGATGATTTCTTGTTTTTTACTTTTTTTTTCTTATGGAGATGTTGATGGTGCTACGTGCATAAAAATTCCAGCAGTACAGTCGTAACGTTTTTTTTGGGCCAACCAACCCTTGAATTTCGAGCACATGGCTATCAAACTGGGCCATCAGAGATCAGCTTTAATGACAGACGGTTGCTGAACCTCGGTGATGACTGCGTTAATTCTCCTGAAGCATACCCAACAGGAGGGAAAGAAATTGAGCTTAGGATGATTTAAATGCCCGTAAGTTTGCGTTTTCGCTATCGCCGTTATAATATGTATATGTACATATGTGTATAGCATTGCTTGATGGGGGCTTAGGATAGGGTAGGGTAATAATTAAAGGCTGTTATCCGTTCAGGAACCTATTATGTTCTTTTTTTTACGGGTTATTTAAATTCTTCACTGGTATGGTACACCGTCATTCATGGTTTATCGTTTTGTGTATTTTGTCTTGAATTTTCAANACAGTCGTAACGTTTTTTTGGGCCAACCAACCCTTGAATTTCGAGCACATGGCCATCAAACTGGGCCATCAGGGATCAGCTTTAATGACAGACAGTTGCTGTGCCTCGGTGATGACTGCATTAGTTCTCCTGAAGCATACCCAACAGGAGGGAAAGAAATTGAGCTTAGGATGATTTAAATGCCCGTAAGTTTGCGTTTTCGCTATCGCCGTTATAATATGTATATGTACATATGTGTATAGCATTGCTTGATGGGGGCTTAGGATAGGGTAGGGTAATAATTAAAGGCTGTTATCCGTTCAGGAACCTATTATGCTCTTTTTTACGGGTTATTTAAATTCTTAACTGGTATGGTACACCGTCATTTATGGTTTATCGTTTTGTGTATTTTGTCATGAATTTTCAATGTTTGCAACTCATCGCTAATAAGGGTTTAGAGGAGTGAGGGGGGACTATAGTGTCCTGGTGCCCGGAAACCGGTGACAGTGGGTTCGAGACCCTTTCGAGTTATCTGATTTTATCGGCTTCTGCATTGTTCACGGCTGTAGGTGTTAGGTTATGACGGGAATGAGAATTAGGGGTTCTCGAGTTGTTATAGACTTCCTAGATCGGCCATCTTCTGTGGCCCTTCTAGAAGTTTTTGGTTTTGCAAACATATCGTATATTCACTTATCAATTGGAATTATGCGAATCCTTGGTAGTAAACAACTAATTCGAGACTGGTCGCCATGGAGATCGTGCCGACGCTTGAAATTCCGCACTGACCCTTTTTATCTTCGCCCGGCTTGTCGGCAACATTACTGGTATTATGAATGTGACACGAGGGACGATTGTTTCCGTCTACGATTTACCTTTGGAGACTTCTCTTCCACTGGTTGTTCTTGTGGGTGTTGTCGTTTACTGCCTAGGAATTGCAGCCGTTTTTCTGGTCATTTATGCGAAATACGTGAGTTTCTCGGTCAGAATGTTGTTGGATGACTTTATTTATGTTTTCATCGAATTTTAATTTGACTAAAATGCGGTAGGAACGAGTGTCCTGTTGTATTTGACCTGAATAGCTTTCCATGGTGTGCGTCCGATCCTCTTTTTTTTGGAATCACAGTAGCGGTTAGGGAGATTCATTTTCCCATGTAAGGCTGATCGAGGTAGCCTAGGTGGAAAAAAGCTCTACCGACTGTTTTAGTGTTACGTAACTATCCCTGTCATTACGTCGATCATAACGAGACCTACAAAACATTGAGAATTAATTGGAACCAAACATCGATATTAGCTACGACCACTGAATCTTTGTAGTCCATGTAGAAATAAGAAAGCGTTCACGTCGCTTTATATTTCCAATTTCAATAAATGGAGAATGGCACGTTGAAAAAGATTGGGGGAAAATCCAATAGAAAGTCATTCTATCCGAATAACCGTACATATTTTTTTGTTGTTTAGCCGCATCGCCTCAAACAATCCACTGCACCAGCTGTGCTGTCAAGTATGGTTTCCTTTATGGATTGTTCGGGTATTTTGCAATGCCTACCGTGTACGGACTGCAGCTTAAGAAAGGCTCTTAGAGCGTGCTGTCCCAGAACGGTGAGCTTTTTTTTTNTTTTTTTTTCGAAATCTATTTTAACGTAGCAATTATGAGTCGATGTCTGTCGCATCGTGTAGTTGGCCTTTGCTGCAGTCCCTCCATCGGTCTTGCCACTTGGAGCCCCTTTTAGAAAAATTTTTCATGGAAGAACAGTACTAGCCTGCCCTTCCAGTCCGTCCCGTCACGGTTTTCGATCTTTAAAGCATTCTTTTTGTTAATTTCCTGAGGTCCTTACGGTCTTCATAGTTTAGAGCAAAAAAGCTCAATTTTGTTTTTCGTTTCGTAGATTCCCGTTTGTAATGCCTTCGACTACCTTCCTTTTTCCTCTTACCACTCTTTCCTTGCATCTTTGGGAGTGTTTTTAACATTTCGGTTATGTTTTATACCTGAGATTTTTCGATGCTAGTATTACAGTCCTTTTAGGTTTTTGGGTGGACATCATTCATCGCCCTTGTTGGACCCTGTTTTTTAATTTCCAAAAAATTCTCTATTTTTGACCCGCTATACTGTCATTTACAACTTAGTCTTATCTGCATCTGTTACTTATACATCATTCTTATTCATTTCATTTCATACATAACATAACATACCATAACATAACATTTTCAGGATGCGCTACGTCGAATGATCAGTTGTGACTGCGTCAAACAGCATATGCATGGTCAGCCACCTGCAGCAGATCTACTAGTCTGATGTGTCGTTCTGGGCCCCCATTGCTGTGAAGGCGATACCCCACCAGTACTTTATACTATGTTCCTTTCATCGTGTATCTCTGTTTCTCTCTGTCAAGCTATTCAGAAACATCTGCTATAAGGAGATCGGCGTTCCACTGGAATAAGTCCGGAAGGACGGCAACCCTATGGTTGAGTTTGTACAGCGTTCGAAGTTCGCTCTCCAGCAAGTAGGCGGCAGTGATTTAAACTTTGTTTTTGAATGACAGAGTTGGCACATCGGTTACTGAACGGGTTAGTGAAACTTAAATGGTAACCCTACAAAATTTCGATGCCTAACTGTGAAGCTGTTCCTTAGCTGTCGCCAGTCGCATCGCGCGGTACGGGACGCCATGCCGTTGTTGTGTCAACTCACCGGAGTTTGAGTCGCGGAGCTGGCGCCGTAGTCCTGATATCAGTTCAAGCCCATGGTTCTATGATGCAAGCCCCTCAACTGAAATGACGGTGAATCACCCCTACGATGAGGTAGACAGCAGAATTGAGCGTTTTTTACTTGTAGTAGCAGTACTTTTAAGTATTTGCATTTTCGAAAAAAAAGCTATGCATGATTTTCAAGAAAAAGTGCTGCAAATAAGGTCTGGTTCAAGCTAGCTCTCCCTTGATGGGGATGGAATTGCAATTCGCATTTCTGCGCTGTGAATGTAGTCACGGGTTGCGTAGCGGTCGCGAATTCATTCTCCTGATCGATTCATATCGAATGTACTACCCTTCATTTTCTGTATGTACGCAATGATGAAGAAAATATTTGTATTCATACGCATACTCATGTAATGATTGTCTATGGATGTCATTTATCGTTCGATTGAGTTTTCATTGATTACGGTATTTTTAAATGTATCGGTACCGATTCAGGTTTCATGAACTTGTTCATCAACATTGTGGTCCTTATGGGACGATTGGATGAAATTTGAAAAGGATCTGAGAAACAAGGAGAAAAATCCCAGCTAATTCCTAGGAATCTAGAGGAGAAAATTGTGCAAGTATGCATTTAAGGCACTATTATCATCCGTTATCGTTTCGTAATACTAACTATGAACATTTATCGTTTACCGAAAGTTACAACTATTGTCACGCTTCAGTGCCTTCAAAAACTACTTTTCAAGTGGGTTGGGGCATATAAGGGAAAGAACGGAGTTAATTGAAGAGCATTTGCTATTACTGTTAACTGCTTTTATAGATGCCACATAGGTACGTGTCGCAACCGCGCGCCTTTGTGTAGGTTTATTGTTCATCTATTGCAGCCACAAGGCTATAATACAGTCTCCAGGATGAGGCCGTGGCAGTTTTCTAGGTATGGCTGCTTTCATAGTCCGCGAGCGAGCGCGCAAGCTGGTCGGGGAACTACTCGTCTGACAGTAACAACCAAGATTCAGTTGTAAACAAGGGGCAGGCGCCGGCCCCCGGTCGCTCGCTTGCGCGCTCGCCCGCAGGACGGTGGACTATGAAAGCAGACTATGTATGATAATTCGATCTGTTTTTTTTTTTTTTGCTTTCGCTTTGTGAATGGAGGAATTGTTGGCAGAAGTCTTGAGAGCTTGTTTTGTTTACAAACAATTACAAACAAATCGTAGAATGACAATCCGTAACGATGCAGTAATACCTAGTGCTGAAAACAAACCATAAATAACTATGTAAAAGCAAGAAAAGGGTGACAGCGGTTCATAAGTAGCAACAAAATCGAATGTAATGTCGGTTTTCATTTAGAACTAGCTGGGTTGCCAAGTCCAAGTAACTCGACAAGGTTGGTAAGCTCGTTGAAAGGGTAACCTGTCAGTTTTTGAGTGATGATGAATGGCGATGAATGAACATAGCAGAACAAGCATATTTGTTGCTTAACCATACTCTTTGACACCATGACACCATGCGAAGCTCTGAAACTCTGAAAATCAATTCTTCCAAAAAAGCAAAGTGATATCGAGAGGGGGAGGGGGGGGGGGGGGGGGGGGGGACGGTTGGGTTTTCGAGTCTGCCGCAACCCGCAGTACGCCTTCTCTGACTCCGATAATGCCCCTATCGATCTACTCTCTGTTGAGCATGCCTTTCGTGAAATCTCGCTAAAACCAGGTACCATTTCTGAATGGAACTTTAAAAGTCAAGTTTATGTGGTCGGTGGATAAGTAGCGTGATGTTGATCAGTCTCTTAAGGGCTTAGCTCAGCATTAGGCATCCGATTTTAGTTTGGGAGTTCGAGAAGTCTTCTTCCGACCGAGGGTTTATAGTGGTCTAATTTGCCTGAACGTTATTCCTGCTTAATCGAGGAACCAAATGAAATAGACTTACAAACAACCAGTTAGGTTATGACGAAGTAAGAGGTAGTACTGGCATGGGACGCGTGATAGCTTCACAAGCCACTATCTTCAACCTAGAAAAATTCAATGTTTATTTAGATAATTATTTATAGCATTGACTGCTAGTATGCTTCCTTACTGTGGAGCACTCACTTGTCAATTTTTTGTTCGAATTGCCAAATGATATCATGAAGATCGACATCTTTTAATATGAAAGTCCAAACATTATCGCAATATCGATATGCTAATAGCCGTTCGGATTTGAATTGCATCTGAATTGAATTGTTCAGTTGTAGCGTAGAGTGGATGAGGTAGCAGTTATACTTGGCTAAATGCCACCGGCGTCTGCCGCCTACAAATGAGACAGTACTCAGAAAGAAGATATGAAGATGTGGCAGTGAAAGGATGTCGTCGGTCACTGCTCTGTATCTCTTTTGATGGACACTGTTACACTTGCCAGTAGCCACTGTCCTTATGAGTACACACAGCAGAGCGCAGCTCATAAGCTTTTCAATTTGGACTCCGTTCGGAGCAGAACTTAGCGGATGATAGGGAGAGCTGCAGAACAAATGACTCCAAAACCAAGTAGTTCTGGTGGGTTCAATCCCAATTGTGCTTACTCCCAGCAAGGGGACCACTGCCTTTGAAGCTCCCAAGGTAGTATTGGAAGTTTCGGACGAGATAGTAGCGTAGCCGTGAAGAAGTGGTCTACCATGTCATAAGAAGACTTAATCAGCCACAACTCAGGTGATAGTTGTCGCTAGTTCGAAATCCTTAAACGGTCAACATAAGAGGAGAAGAAGTGGGGAGGCGAGGAGCGGGGAAGGGGCGGATGTCGTTAAATTTGGAACTGTGGAAAAGCGAGTGTCGTGCTGTACGGCAAGCTTTGAGGTTAATCCTTTAGAGAAAACAAGTTCCGATTAGGAACGTGAGACTTGCTATTCCTTTGCCGAAGTTTGCACTTGTCATCCTAGGTTCGTTGGACACCAAATCAGCAGTGTCAGAAAAGTGGTATGTCTGGGCTCTAACCATGCTCTTGGACGGGCCATACCTACCTTACCATTCAAGGTAGCAGCGGCATTTAAATGTATGCTTGTTCTGTCCAACGACGTACGGGATTCGTTAAGATCACAATGAGTTCGCAATCACAAAAAATTAGCAACGACCTGTTCATGACCTATTGACGCGCTTTTCCATAAGTAACTTCACAGCAATGTGACGATTCGAAGATCGTAACGTCAGACAGACAGACAGACAGACAGACAGACAGACAGACAGACAGACAGACAGACAGACAGACTCACCCTGGTTTTGACTTTATATGCAAGCGCCTTATTGATATTCTTGTCGAAGATGGCCAAAGTTTTTGCCGCCAGAGAACGGCTAATGAGATTCTCTTCGATGAACTGATCCAGAGTTTCCGTAAGCGCTTTTCCGAGAGTCGTCTCTCTGTACATCATATACGACATGGCTCCTGAAACGGTAGAAAATCATCGAACTGATGGGGTGGATTTGGTTTTTTTTTGAGTATGGTCGAGATACTAAGGCGGAAGGTAATCAGAGGATCAATATGTGAGAATGAGATGTATCTATTATGGGTTAAGAATTTTCGAAACTTACCCTTCAGTAGTGAGATTTGAAATCAGGAAGAGTGATTGGTACTTATCAGTCCGTTCGTGATCTTTTACACAGTGTTTCTGCTCAATAGAAGGTCGTGTTCTGGTTAAGTTACGGCTAGGACCCTCCATACAAGCGTTTTTGAATGAAAACGACAAAACAAAAGGAAAAAATGATCTAGGTAGGACGAAAAGGGTCCAACACTGAGACTGTCAGTTATTCCGGCCTAATTGGGTTCTCATTGCTGTCTGAAGGGACCTGGCCACCTCCCGGTGCAACGGAAATGCATCCAATCGACCATGTCATATGATTTCCTATTTAGGTGACCCGCTCTACTCTCAAGTCTGAGTGGAATAGACTGGAAATGGTGACTTCCTGTCCGAGGATTTCTCGTAGAGCAGTGGATTGCTGGAAAGAGTTTCCGAATGCTTAAATAGGGCCTAATCATAGCTGGACCTAGAGCAACAGTTCTTTTGAAAGACCAAGAAAAGTGATAGAGCAAGGATGTAGATGAGAAAGGTGAGAGGAAATAAGGAAATCGCGGATTTGATCACAGCTGATTAAGAGGCCAGCTGGAAGGTGTAGCGCTGGCTTAGCTGTCCACGTGGCCGTACATGAAGCATCAGAGTGCCACGTTCCGAGGGTACCAGAGGCAACTAGGCGTACTAGTAAGTAAGTGCAACGGAAAGGTAGCGGTGCCAGGGTGGCATATGCCAGTCATAAGTAATGAGCCTTGCTCGGAATCGGGCTAAGAGCCATTAAATATTGTCGGGTGATGGGTTACTAGCAAGCTCTTCCTTCTCCACTTCTCAGGGAGAAGCGTAATTGGTAGAGTCAAGTGGCACAGCGAAATACATATGATCCCTGAACTTACCATCGGCTGGGAGATACGTGGGTAATTCGAGATCGTTGGATGAGCCCATTGCCTCAAACCTCTGAACTATCTCAGGTGAAGTCGAATACGCGAAGTATGAAAATACTTCAAAATTCGGAATTCGGTTTACGTTGTGCTTCTGAGAATGGTTCGATCAAAGCTGACGGCCTGTTGTTTGCTGGGGAAGGTGGAGCGAAAGAGGTTGTAGTAGGAGTAAAAGTGAGAGCCATCATCAAGGTTGAGCCAAGCAAAGTAGCTGTGTCTTGAATGAGCGAGCTGTTCCAGGTAGGAAGCTCGGTGTGCACATGCATCATTGCGAGTCCATATAATGATTTCCTGACACCGGAATAGGCTACCTAACCCTCAAGAAATATGGAACTTCGAGAATATTCCGAGTAATGAGAAGGAGAGGCAGCATTAAGGTGCACATTTCCTGTAGGAGTACCTTCTTTCCTTGGAATCACTTGTGATTGACGATGCCAATAAGCAACTGAAGAATTCCTATCTGGGACTTCGTGCTCAAGGAATTTGTGTGCTAGTGTGAAGGTGTGATGGGAAAACAGCAATCCAATCGGTGTAGATATGGATGTTCAGTGTCTTTGATGGAGGAAAAAGGTTCAATGACATATGAATGTTCTGAAGAGCTCCAAATATGACTCCATCCATGGGTTCGAGTCCCGTCTTAGGCCGAAGTTGTGCTCATAATCGTCTACCTTGTATAACAACTGTCTTATTAAATTTCCTGGTAGAGGAAGTACCAAAATTTCCGAGCGAATTGAGCCGTTGGACTAGAAATCTTTATGGGAGGTCATATTCGGATGGATCTTGTAGTCTACGGCAAGTATTATGTATCAAAGATTCAAAGTTTACTCAGACAATATTCTGGCAGAGTTCGAGAAATTTCGATTTTCAGCATATGGTGCAAGCAGGTCTCCTGGGAGGCCTTCCGGTCGATGCTGTGCTGGTAAGGGAATTTGCATAGGAGTACTCTGGGAAGAATGTCCAGAATGATCGGTCGAACGAGATTGATGTCTTTGAAGGATTGCACGTAAGGGTTAAAAAAAGAGTTCAGCCTACAGGTGGCAAGACGTAGTTTGAGGGTCAGCTAAGACAGGAAATTGAGGGTTTCTTCCTGTTTGGGCTGGCTCCCGCTTAGGTAAATGTATCAAAATGAAGGGGAACTGATTCTACACTGCTGATCCCCTTTTTTGGAAGCTGAATGTGACCCTCCCAGGTTTCATCAGTTACCCGTACTGGATTTGTGTGATGCGAGTAACCGAATTGTATATGTATATAAGTAAAAATACTTCGAATGCATGGAAAGCATCCCTGTAAACCTTATATTAGATCAGCTTCACATTCGAATCCTGTTGTGATTTTCAGAGGAGATCGCGTGCATGGCGTATCTCATAGAGGTCGGTCACTCATTTCTTTCCTGACTATTTCTCTTCTCGACAGGGACTATTAACATTTTATTATGGAATCCTTGGAATTGTTAATAATTTATGCGTTTTTTTTTTCTCTGGAAATATTTTTTTATATTATTTTTTATATTTGAATAGTTCTTCTTTGTTTATATTTATTTCCAGCTTTCAATATATTCTGTGCACCATTAGCCATTTAGCATGCGGATCTCATTCGTTAACCGAACGGTACCAATTATGAGCTTAGCGGCCATAGTGACCGCCGTGGGTCACCAACACCTACGTCCTAGTGAACGGAATTGCGCAGAAATCAATCCGAGCAGCTCGCTGCTGTGAGTTTGATGCTTATTGATCGACCGCTCCCTTTTTTATTTGTGTTTTTTTCGTAATTTTTATGATCTTTTACTCTTCCTTACGTCTATACTTGTACCAGGTCGGATAAGACGAGGGTATCATGAAGTTGTCCACGTTATGGCTACTGGTGATCCGAATCTCTTTGGCGCTTGGCCAACAGACCTATAGCGAAATGTCCACAATTGATTTGTTCGGAAATCGGAATCCAATCTTCAACTATATGCCAAATCCTGGCCATATTGATCCATCGCTGCTGGATCAACGTGAGAAATATACGGATCTACGGGAAGAAGAAGGTGTGAAGCTGTTGAAGAAAAGGGTCCGAAGGTATCTAAAGAGGGAAGGTCCTTCTTTTCAGGCTGGTGGCATTTGTTTCCCTATGGACCGCTTTACAATGATGCTAATCTACTCAACAAACCACATCATGATCGTCAAATTGATTTCGACTTTGATTTTCCTTTTTATGGGTTTCGATTCAATTACACTATGGTGAGTACTTCTTCCAAACAGCTATACAGCTCTTTCAGTGCTGGACTGGACATGTTTCATACTATTCCTAGGCTGCGCCCTGCTGAGGCCAGTGTCCAGAATCTTAGAAATGATTGAATGCATGTATAGGCCGTTGCAGTAGCTTCTGAAGACCTTAGAAGCTGTTTTTTTGCTTCCCATCCTTCAAATTTTTCTTGTACCCAAGTAAATAGTGTATTCTCATCTTGAGAATTCATCGTCAGTCGATGTCTTTGAGTTCAAGAACATAGTCCGTCCAGGGTAGATGTTGAGTTGAGATTTGACCAGTAAGTGTCAGTAGCATTTAGGAGTTGGACCATGTAGTAGTTGATATGTTGTATAGTTACCATAAATTGTAAATAACCTCATTTACAGATCTATCCAAACGGTCTGCTGGCGTTTTCTGATCCAGAATTTATCCAACCGCCGTATACCTTTCCAAATCCTCGATGGCCTGAGCAAAGGGTTTGTTTGATGTTACCTCACCTGATTCAACCAGCATTTCCAGTTGTCCCTGGCCATCATAGATTTTAGAGAAACTTTGCTTTTCCCGGTTTTCCACCACAACACGAAGACACAGTGAATATGTGGGCGAAGCTACTTGAGTCACCAAAAGTTTCCGATAGAGTCTCGCCTACCAGAGAGAGAGAGACTCGGCACTGATCAAGGCTCAAGACCTGATCCAGGTTCAAGTCCAGGGTTGGGGGATCAGGTTTCAGAGCGATCTGTGAGATCAACTGAGGGTAACATTTTTCAAGGCTCGGTTACTTGACCTCAGATTGGTCTGGGAAGAAAAAAGCCCGGCGTTGAGTGGCCACACGTTTAGCTAGCGCTACTTTCCTCTAGTTTTTTGCCATTTTCATTTTTTCCTCTTTACTAAAATTCAATAGGACGGTAATAACATTATGTCACTGTGAAATTCAGGATGCATCGTTCATCGCAGCATTCTATGCTGATCAAATCTTTCAATTCGTCGGTGAACGTGGAATTTCAAACGTGTGGTATAGGTAAGAGCACAAAAATTGTCGTGGTCCTAATCGCGAACATAACCCTTTCTCCAAAAATGTGGCCGTTGAAGGAACGGTCATGTAATCAGTTTTTGATCAAGTGCCAAAAAAAAATGTTGAATTAATTCTATCTAAGTATTATTACGGGAATGTTGCCTCTTTGTGATTACGGTAGTTGTTTGAGACGAGGTGCTGTTGAAGATAAGTTAGTCTATGCAAATTCTTTTGAACTAAAGCATTTGTTTTGAGGTAGACGTTTCTAAGAAGGTTCGAAAAGGTTTCTCGAAAAAGATAAATGCAGTACGGATCCGGGTTTTATTGTAGTCAAAATATTGCCTGGTGCTACCATAGGTTGCTAATCAATAAGTATTATTTGCGTAGGAACAGCCTGAAGCAAGAGTTGTATGGTCCTTTTTGAGGTTCAAATGTTCGATACTGTAGGGCTTTCTGACATTGAAATTCTACATTTTTCTGTCATTTGATTTATTTTATTTTTTTATTTATTTGTTATTTTTATTTTTTCTAAATTATTTTTTATAGCAATTTTAAAAGAAGTTTTCGGAAGCAGCATAACAGAAACGGTAAATTGAATCGTTTTCAGGATCATATTCCGTCCTCGAGCCTTCGAAACGTTTGACGAATGGGGTAGCCCGTTGATGGATTCCCGCGATGAACACGGTTCAATGTTTCATACGGCTAGGGACCGTTATGAGAAAAAGGTCTGAGCTCGTCTAAGACGCAGTAGGAAGTTAAAAAATGAAGTGGGCATTACTCTGTAGGGCAAGAGCAGCTGTAAATTTTTCAGACATGGGGTCGAGTTGAGGATACGTACCTTTTGGACAACATCACTATGGCAATCCGTGAAGGAATCATTGGTGCCAATGGTTTTCGCGCTGATTATGCTGTCATCGTGACATGGGAACGAATGGCATACGGTGGTGCACCGAAGGTTACACAGGTAAGGAAACTGTAGGACTGACCTGTTTATCTGTCACCCTTGAATTTCATTTTTTTCATTTATTTAATATTCATTGGGGGCGTAAACATTCACACATCACATTGAATATAATAATCTATTAAATTGATTGCAACACGTTATCAGATAGTTCATTGAATCTTATTACATGAGCAGAGGTGGTGTAATGCCGCAATGTGGCGAACATCTTGGCTTGGTATCCCCAGGTCAACCGAGTCTTCCTTCTCTCAGTGGGTTTGTTAATTGGAACAGACTGGGAGAATTATAGCATCGACTTCCACCTCGGACCATCATCGGAATCATGTATAGGTCGCATACGCATTCAAAGGCCATTGCTACTTCGGAGGAGGTCGAATGCAGGGCGCACTAATAACGGGACTGACCGATGCTAAAAAGTACCGGTAATCGATATGTAGTCATTGTCTGAGTTTTTATTATGAAGATTCCTTTTTTTGTTATGTATGTTCGTGACCGACGCCTATCGATATGTTCAGGTGATCCCTATAATCGGAATTGATTGCAACCACTTTGCCAATTGGTGTAGCACCAAAGGCACTCGCTTTTTTATTCAATTTATTATTAGGATTTTTAACAAAGTAGCTTTGTCTGACTTCCTGCGTGTGATCACACACAGCAAGTCAGACATCCTTTTCAGTTACCAGTTATTGCCACCTACTCATTAGCTTTGACAGAAGCTCTATAGACTTTGTAGATTTTCTCATAAAGACTTTTGAGAGTACAAAAAATACAGAGTTCGAGATTATTGTTCTCTTTTTCTTTAATTGTGGCTCATTCTCTCGAAAATGAGTGTTCCATTAGATTTCGACCAACTTTGAGAATTTTCGTTGCTTTTTCTCAAGCCTTTGATTACCATACTTTCTCAACTTGAAATGTTTTCAAAATATCAGAATGGAGTGTCTTTTTCGATCTTTCCTTGCTAAAAAAAGATAGAACCGAACTGAGTCACAATATTTCAAAAGTTTCTGGTGAAATACGTGTGATCATTTGAGGTCGTTGATTTTTGATTTTTTTTATGTGTTACTTTCTTTTTGATTTTTTTACAAACGTGTATCTTCAACGTTTGTTTGATAGGCTAGCACTTTCACTTAACTCGACCTAGTTTCATTCGTTTCAGGTAAACAGATATGAAGAAGCCAAACGTTGGACAAATACGTATCAAGTTGTACTGGCAACTGACGAAATTCGGAGGTACATTATTGCCTTGAGCTCTTTTCAGGCTTGCCAGACATATCTGATATATCTGGAGCCTCTGCATTTTTTTCATTTTTTCTATTTTTGTATAGGGGAGATGGGCACGGTGAGGGTGTGGGAGGGTAATATATGAGCCCTGTTAAAGTTCGAGCTCGAGTTTGTGATTAGCAAGGAGACTAGGGTTGTGAGCAGCTGGGCAGGCCGGTACATAAGAGACCTGTTGACTAGGAAAAATTGAAAAAAAAGCAGGAACCTCGAGGTATAGCCCTTCGAAACCCTCTGACCAACAAACATTGCTCTAATTTTTTATGAGTCTTCGGAATTTCCAATTTCTGTCCCTGAGTCGAAAAGGAACGGCGTTGGGGAATACACCGCTCCACTCAGTTTCTTCGTAAAGTGTAAAGGAAGTTTGTCAAATCAGACGATGCTCCCTATGTTTACCTTTCTCAGAAGCACTGAAGGTAGCTCATGATCAAAGCAGATGAAGGGATGGGAAGAGTACTAACACCATATTGCTTTTCCTATTAGTTACTTGTCGAAAATCCACTGGTGAAGAGTGGGGAATGATACCTGGCTTTTTGTTTCAGTTATGTAATGTTCAACTATGCTCACATCAACTGGACATCATCGAATACAGCAGGAGCATTACAAGGCCGTGGTGGTCTGCAGAGTGCTATGGTAAGTAATTATGAGCTGTGCACTGTGAATGGATCGGAACTGTCACCATATACTCTGTGTATGAAGGAGTTTCAAAAATACAATATTCTACAGGCTGGTTTTAATGGAGGAAATGGAACTGGCTGGACACCCTTGCCATACTCCGGTGAAGGGCGTGTCATAAAGCTGAAAGGTAGGACCACTTTTTTAGATCAGTCGTTGCATTAAGTTATCCATAGGATTAAAAATGTAGCCAAATTGTGGAACACACCCGGCTAGCAGGTGCAAAAATTCAAGTTAGCTTTTTCGCGAGCGCTCGCTTCCGCAACCAGCCAATCGCATCGACCGCTTCGCGACTGCTCGCTTCCTTAGCCATTAAATTGCCTTGACCTGATGTCGTCCATTGCCAACCATTGACTGGTTTAGAGTTCTCCAATGTCGGAATTCCTGGTCGATGGCTATTCCGAGTTGATGAAGAGATAATTCGAGGCGGTTGCAGTAATGAGAGTGTAGGTAGGTTCCATCACGTGGTCGAATAACCCTTGTTGAGGGTTACCATTCCATACCTCTACCTTTAGGCTACTTGACCACGGCTCCGATCGCTGCAACGATGATTGGCGGAGTGTACGTGAACGTTTCGGGCCCATGTCTTCGTGGTGGTGACGTTGTCAAAGTGATCTTTGATGAATACCAAGTGGATTGTGTTCGGGCGAGTTTTACCTACTGAAATAGTTTTTTTTATCTCATCAGTGCTTACTCATCTGCTTCAGTGGAGAACTTTTGAGATAGGTAAAAATTTCGGTGAAGTAATCGTGTGAAGTGGTTTCAAGACTAGGGGTTACCGTACCCGCCACATCATTCTCCGTATTTGGTCGATTTCATCTTTCCATTCGGATGGGGTACCCAGTAACGGGTTCTGAACTGCGAACTTGGTTTACCTGAGCATGATTTGGCCAGGAAATGGGCGTCAGTAGCTCCTGTCTAGCCATTGCTGTAGTTGTGGAAGAACTGCAATTCGGAATTCTGTAGAGATACAAATGAAATCCGCTAAGTTCCTCGAAATTACAGGAATCCATCGGATCGTAGAAGTGTGCTCCTATTTTGGGCATTTTGATAACCTCGAAAGCCCCTTTCTTCAAGCGCTTTCATTTCTTTGGTAGATTTTTTTTGGTTACCTACACCTGCTGTATGATCATCTCAAAAGCCCCTTTGTTCAGTAGCAGAACGAATTTGGGGGAGGGGAGGGATTATTTACCCAATTATGGATGGACACGGCAAAATGCTCGACTAAATTCGTAGCGACTCGAACAACTCTGGCGCCTACCATTGGGGCACGAACTTGAAGTGCTGAAGTCCTTCAAACCACCTCAAATTTCGTCGCGCATTTTGCCGCGTCCATCCATAATTGGGAGAATGTAACCTTACCCCGAGTCTGGTTATGGTTTTGTGTAAATTAGCGTATGTGCCTTTAGAAGGGCGAACGGTGAATCCCCTCAGCAACTATCATTTCAGCTAAACATGCATCGAGCCCAATGTGTCTTACCAGTGAATCGAATGTATAAAACGGGTCTCGTGAATGTGAAGATGAGCCGTGATGGTGGTCAAAGCTATCCGTACGTCGGGACCTTCTACTTATGTGAGTTCGCTCAGTGTTTGTTTTTGTACTCAACAGGTTTTTCGGAATAGCAGGAAGACTTCTAGCAAGATACTTATGACTAAGATGGTAAGCTGAGCCTCAATTTAGTAAGTAGGATATTTCAAAGCCTACCACCAAAATGGGCGTGATCAAATGGAATCCAACACGATCACTGATTTGGAGTAATCTTGGCACGACTGCCTTCCGAAGTACTAACATCTTGCCAGCCTCAGCAAGTATAAAAAAAGGAAGTTCCAAAAAATTCTTTTGAACAACTGACAAATTTGCATGGCCTCGAGAGGCTATATTTGAAGTGGGGTTGCTGCGCGTTTTTCGACCTATACTTTCATCGGAGAATTGCGAGGCATCGACAACCGCGTTGCGACCGCACGCGTCTAAGGTGCGCGAATCACATAATTCGCTCCACACATCAGCGACCACATCTCGTATCTGAGATGTCATCAATATTACCATGAACAAAGTATAACAAATTCCATATTTTATTTAAAAGCCTTCCCACTCCAGTGCAACCAGCCTTGGCATCACCGGCTGTGAAACTAATCGATAATCCAAGAGAGGTACACAATAACTGGCGCAGTGCGAATGCGACGCGGCTTCGATTGGAATGGGCTCCGTATAATTTGACAAACGATGTGAATGCAATGATCAACATCAAATTGATGGGATACTGGGAAGACACTGATGATCATGTATTTGAAGAGGTGAGCAACATTTTTTTCCATAAAATAGAAAGTATGGGTTTTGATTAGCTGGTCTGCCAAATTATGCTATCCTTGAAGTTCGTTGGCTACATTCTGTGAATCTGCGGTTGTGCCATATTTCGTAGCGTTATACCTAGCTTTCCAAGACTACATAGTTTTACAGTGGCTATACCCCCTGAATCGACCGCAGTGAACGCTCCGCCCCTTTCACTTTGCTTTCTGCATTGTGACTCTGCACGTTAATCATATGCAGTCATTTAATCGAAGTGCATACTATTCTTATACTATTCTTGTGTTTTTACGCCGAAAACAGGAAAAATGACAAGTTCATCGTCGTGACATACACTGCTGGTGTGCTATCAACAAATACAAACTATCAACCCAAACTTCCAAGTTCGTCCTTCGAGCCAAATCTAACTCCAGACGTTTTTCAGATTGGTACCATCGCAGAACGCACATCAAATGATGGCTCATATGAGTTTGATCCGAGGACGCTGGCTCGAACATCGATGCTGTTCGATTCATGGAGGCGCTATTCATTTGGAGCTGTCAGGATTTCCATATCGGACACCGATGAGAGTACTGGGTCAGTTCGTCTCATTCTTTATGTCTCCGAGACTCTCGAACTAAGGGTCGGCTTAGAGAGATTGGAGCTAAGGAGATCAGATAAGTAACAAAGCCTGTAACGAGCTGTACTCGATTTTCTCAACTTTTTGAATCGCACCTTCGTAGAGAAGGCACAGAGGCAGTTTTGTCATGACTAATCATGATTGGGGAGCTACGTCGGAGCAGTCGGACATTGCTCGCTCTATCTCTGGGCAATGGGAACTCTGTGCTATCAGAGTTCAGACCCAATGGTACGGTCACTGTTTTACGGTGTGACGCGAAGTATGAATGGTCTTTTTCTCGAGTGACCAATGTAACCATCGTGAACTTGCACACGCCTTTTTGTTTGTCGTTAAGCCGTCTTACAGTAATGTTTTCCCTCCAAAGGTCTTGTTTAGAGTCTTCTGGAGCAAGCTAACACCTTTTGGTTGGTATTTCCGTGATGTTTGGGAATACGAATACGGTAGAGATTGGGCCTTGGAGCTATGCCAAGTTGGTTTTAGATTGACTTTAATACTATTGTTATTCTAAGTATCTGTGAAAAATCTGGATCCGAGTGCTTTCTTGTTTTTTGTTTTCTTCCTTTGTTCTTGTTTCATACAAACTCGTTGGAATTTAGATTTTGGTGGATGACTTCTGTTTCCAACCATTTTAGGATTGGTTTGATTATGATGGGAAACGCGTGAATTTCGCTATGGATTTGGAACCATTCCTTCCATGCCCGTGTACACTCGATCAGGCATTCCTTGATCTCGGTAACTCTCTTTGAAACACTACTTCTTCACAAAAATTGTGAGTTCGTGAGTGTGAGTAGAATAGCTGGCATAGGGGCCGGTAGATTGCCTATCTTGCCATCTCAGTGCCTTACTATCTGATGTAATACTTCAAGTGATCATTGAATATGAAGGGAATCATTGATCATAAAAGAAATGTTCGGGTTTTTGTTTTGAATCAAAATAAAACGCTTCCTATTCAAAGGACGATACATGCCACTGTTTGGATGCGACGTTGACGGTGATGCTTCGTGTGAATACAACAAAGGAGCTCAACATTGTGTAATGAGTGTGGCAGCTACGTGAGTGCTCTATTGGGTATTCTCAGTGATTTTAATTCCATAGGGTTCATTAATCCGACTGATCACTAATTTGAGTTATTTGGAATTCTATACTCGAAAGTCTATACTGAGAAATAGTTTTTGTTTGATTTATAGATGCTATAAGGATGAAAGGATAAAGTTTTTGGCATTAATCAATCCCGTCTGACGGATGCGCCCCCGCTCTCGACTTCCATTCAGAATCGTAGTGGCGTAATGAGTGCGTATGTAGCCTATACAATGACTTGCGGTGGCCAGCCGACGTACAAGTCAGTGCTTTTATCCTCCCAGACAAGTCTGGTACCAATTTACCGACCCCGGAGGAATGGAAGGCTTGGATGGCCTAGGTGGGCATCGATCCGGGGTTAAGACCCCTGACCGTGCGTATGATATAGTGCACCACTTGCCACTACCCATATAGATGGTATAAGAGTTTGAAAAGAAGTATCGTCTGGGTAAACGGGTGAACATTTATTTAATTTTATTTAGAGAAGTTCCAATTTCTAAATGTTATCGAATCTTTTTAGTCACGTTTCCATGCATTTCTTTTCCCTGCCTCCTACTTCAATCTTCCGCGAACTTTCTTCTGCTAGAGGGCCCTTCCTTTTTTTCTGCAACATTAGGTTGAGTAGGATGCCAGTGAAAGAAAAGGTTTTGATGCGCTGTTCGTGTTGTAACATGTACCACGCATGAAGTTGGCAACACCTCAGTGGGCTTGGGGGATTGCAGCTCTATTGTCCTGGACTGGTACCGAACCTAGAGTCGGTCCTTGACCATGAGTCAAGGGTAGAGATGATGCACTACTTGGTGCTGCTTCATCTCTACCCTTGACTTGCTAACAGAGAAGTTTTAGGAAGCTTTTCATGTTTGACTGAGTTAAAGCGAAAATCTTAAGTGGAATTAACTACAGTAATCAAGCGCTTCATTATTTTAATGATCTCAGCCCGATTACGGTAACTGATTACTGTAGGTGGACTGGTGCCGGGCAGGTCTGCTGCTACGATTTCGAAGGTTGGCTGATGCATTCGGATGACTACGAAAATGCGGCGCATCTGAGATTTTTCAGTCCTGGAACTGCTATGAGGTATGTTCAGAGCTCGGGTGATCCGGGGCTGTGTGTGAAGGTTGTTTGGATGTATCTTGAGCGGACCAGCGGCTTAGATACGAGGATCTCTCTGATTTTCTGGTCCAATTAGTTCATCTAGAGACATTATACTTTCACTTTTTTTCATCGTTTTTTCGATCCGTTTTAGAGCACATCCGATGGGTTCGTACCCCTTTAAACGGCCCCCATATGTCCCATCGATGTCGAATTTTCACACCGATATCATGGCATACGAGAAATGCTGTAAATGGGCGGGTGCATGCGAATTCTACTTCTGGCGTCGACAAACCAGTGGATGCCAAGAGTACATACCACCAGTGGCAGGTACGATCATGTATTTGTAACTCAGTTTTCTTTAATTTTTACAACATAGAACATTTTAGTAGAGACAGACGATAATTATTGCATGGTTGCTTTGCTGTGTAAGAAAGACTGGAGCAGCCTTTGGGGTGAACATTCAAAAGACAATGTGAAATTCTCCTTTCCTCTGCAGGGGCCTGATTTGTTTGATATTTGCCGTATTCCCTCCCGAAACTGCTTAGAAGCGCCGTTTTTCCAAGTAAATCGACTGTAGATTCCTGATAACGAAGGGTTAGCCCGGCAGGAGCCTTATCGGATGGGTGAAACGGAGGGTTCTATTCGGATGTGGTTGTGGCACCACTTGCCCACACCTCCCTCCTTCCCTTTATGAACTTAATCTTCACAAAATAATNAATTTACTATGTTCAATTAAAACCACATTCAGGGATCCCATTCATAGAAGGAACATAATCACTCAGTTCAGGTATTGCTTATGGTGATCCACATTTTGTCACTTACGATGGAACTCGTTACACATTTCAAGGAAAAGTCAGTTTTGATAGGAAATACTATTTTCTTCCTTTCAAATACACTAACAGTTTTACAATTTTGGCATGTACTACTAAGAATACCGTACCGTGAACAATTTTCAGGGTTACTATATTCTGACTATGAGCAAAGACCCACGACATGACTTCCACGTCCAGATTCGTATGGAGCAGCCACCCAAAACAGATTGTGAGTTTTACCATATCTACAATATACATGAAGGCCTAAAGGAGGCAATTCCAGCAGCTGTGGTGGGTGGGACGTACCTCGTCTTCCATCAAGTTACACTTGTTCTATACTTTTTGCCCTCGTTGTGGCACCAAACCGTTCTTTTTCTGCTATCGTCTGCGCTCTCTATTCTAGGCGTTTTGCTACTACTGTGACCATCACGCCAATGCTGTCCAGATGAAGAGTGGTTGCACCATCTTTGGGCCATTACGTAAGAGCGTATGGTCTTTAACTGAAACCGAGGCTACGCTCAGAGAAAGAAAAATCGATTTCTGATATTAGTCCAGTTTACTCACGTCACGTGGTGAGACAACTAGCTAAAACATACCAAGCGGCGGGACAACTAACCAATAGACTCTGTACGCCGTGAGCTTATTGTAACTCCTGCACATCCACTTTATCAGTTGTATTCGTATGGGTGATGGGTGTGGTTTGAGCGACGTCTGCCGTAATCTACAAACGTTTTATGATTGCTTTATTTGAGGGAATCAAGAAGTGCATGCGTCGGTGATTACTGGAGTGGCTGCTCGAGAGAATCAATCCGATATCGTACAAGTGTTCGCTCGAAAAGAGTTCCGCAGGTGCAGTCAACTACTCTATTCAAGAATTGACTTACTTTTTATCGTTTTTGTTTTTATTACTTCCCACTAGGGCCTGTTCTGATCCGAAAATATCATTTAGGTGGCGTTATCGAATGGATGTTGTGGTCAATGGGCATTATCGGTTTTTCGATACACCTGAATTGAAAATGCAACGGTTCAGAGGTGAGTAGTGTAGCTGAGCTGGTGGTAGGATCTAAGAATTACTGGTTTCAAGTGACTTCCACAAAGTGTCTATGCAGCATTTATGGTGAATTGTAAATCGTTTCAATCAGATTTTATATTATTAAACTCAATTTCCAAAATTTTTCGTCAAAAATGTCAATCAGTAATTCCCACAATTTTCGAGTTTTTGAGGATCTACAGTATTTCGCCAATGAAGTTATGTGGTATACATGGAGCGTAGCCCGACCGTATTCGCCTTACTTGTGAAGCATCCGAAAAATCTCATCTTTCCTTGAAAGGGGCGTGGATTGTCGGAGGGGCGTCCCGTTCGAAAGGGGTTTTTGACTCCATTTTGACGAGAACGCTTTCGAGTCCACAAGTTGCCCAGCGAAAAATTTTCTACCTGTACCTTTGTTCTTTTTTTACGGAATCCTTCTGAAGGCCTCTTCCACAACAACAAAATGAGAAAAATTTTTGTCTGTCGTTTTGTTGTGCTTCTTGAGCTTCTGAGATCAGTCACAGATGGAAATTATAGTTCCGCATGATGAAAGTGTTGGAGAACAAAGTCTATTTCAGGAGTTACAATTCGATCTCCTGAAAGAAATCACAACCAGTCAGAGATTCATGTGATGTTCGATTCGGGTGCCGGTATACGTGTAGCCGAGGCTCACGGCGTGCTCTCTGTGATGACACTTCTGCCACCGGACTTCAATGAGACTTTTGCGGTGAGCTAGAAAACGGCATTCAATCGAAAGTCCAAAACACCTTTTTACCAAATCAATACAGCATGAAAAGCGTTTGTTTTAGGTTTAGGTGATAGAAATTGATTAGCGTTGACCTTCGTAGGAAATCCTTTTTATTACGGAAGGGGAGGGTGAGGGGAATGTCGTAGCACTTTACTTCATCAATGCGTTTTGTCAATTTTTGATCGTCGATCAGTCAACCATTTTATGATATCCTGGAGTCGATTGGGTATTGCTCGCTTTTCCGGTTTCCAATTCTGGAACTGTCCTCATTTAACCGACTTGCTCTTACGGATGATCTCACCAGTACTGTGGTCTTTTAGATCGGTCTCCTTTTCGAGCCTTTTGGTCGGTCCAATAGAGTGATATCCCTTTATTAGACCCTAATTCCGAGCGAATCGCCGCATTCTCATAAATGTACCGTGAAGCTTCCATCAAGGCCCTTCTTATCCTCTTTCCAAAGGCCTAAACCGACAGTAACAAATATTAGTACCGTACTCCCTTGCACTTAGCCCTGCCCCTAACAAAATCCCTATCATAGAAATGATCCAACCTTTGCATCTTTCCATAACACTCTATTGCCACTCCAGAACTACCGAGGCGCCTCCTATCCGGGTGGTACTGATGAAGATGACTGGTACGGTCAGGCATCGTCAGCACAACAAGAATTCATCAGAACAGTCTCTCTTTCACAGCCATCCACATTACAGTATGTTGCAGGTACGGTGACTCGGATACTCTACTCATTCAGAACTACTGAAGAGAACCAGATGAATTTTAGGTGGTCAACGATTCATTACTGTCGGACTACTTGGTACCTTTAATGGTAATCACCTGGATGATCTGATGGCTCCAGACGGTCATATCACAATTGTAAACCATCCACCTACTGAACAGGATAACATCAATGCTTACAAATTTGGATCGAGATGTAAGTTTTCTTAGTTGAAGGTTGGTGGAATGGGTGAACCCGTGCTTCTACCAAAGCCAGCGATCTATTGTCCAGTTTCCAATCCTTACTGGGTTCAGTTATCAAGCAGGTTCATTCAAAAGAGAGCAGGGCTCTGAGTAGGAGCAATTGCCAAAAATCAGTATTTCGAGATAGCTCTCTCGGAATACAGAAGGGTGGGAATACATGTCGTAGAGCACAGTTGGGACCGTACTCGGGGGAGCGTTTTTTCAAAGTCTTTTGTAGATAAAAGTCCTTTTCCCAAACTGTACGGTACTCACTGGAAATTTTTAAAAAATGAAATGACTTTTTGGTTAACGGCTGTCCTAAATTTGATCTGCGGACTATGAACGCAGTAACGCCGCCTGCTGTCATAACCATATCCACGGAAATCTCGAAAGTAATGCTGAGTATATAGGGCGTGTGGATGGCTCGCGTCATAAGCTACTTTTCCAAGACGATGTGAAACCGATCTACAATCCTCTGCAGTTCGGTGATGACAGAAGGTAGGGCTTGTCCTTCATTGATTGACTTCAACGAATTGATCAATAGCATCGCCTTCAGATACGATCCCGTGCACGACCCGTACCGTCTACAGTACAATGCAAGCTTGGTATTTACACTGGATGAAGTGCGGGTAAGCGTTTTTTGACTGATACTGTCCGAAAACCTACTAACAATAAGTCGTCAAACGGGCTGTCACTTGGCAAAGAATTTGTGCACGGTATTTCGTGATATTTGTATCCAATACCTCCTATTTTGGTCGTTACGGCCTATTGGAAGCCGACAGTCATCCTCTATTTTTGGATCACCAGCATGACGGTTCTAGGATCCTTCTTCAGGCTTTGAATTTTTGAAAATGCCCAACTCAAATGTTCTTTTCGATCTCATCCTACTTCTGCTACTGTTCCTTCCCCTCCTTTGAACTATGACTTTGAAGCTGTCACTCTTTTTTTGAGCTTGCTATAAATTTGTGAATACTTGGAATGAATTTTCGATGCTGTCCTTTAGGTAGCATGTCAGAATGTTTACGAATGTGAGTATGACTATTTCCTCACCGGCCGTCGCGAGATTGCCATGAATACGCTGGAAGTGCAGAGTAAACTGATCGAGCTGAAGCATAAAGGATCACAACGAAGTAAGTCGTCCAGGGAGTATTGGGGATGTTGGAATTTTGGAAATTGGAAATCGTAAAAAGCACTGACAAGTTCGAACCTTATATGTATAAGAAGCTGCTTACAAGGTCTTTTTGGAGTAGTAGTACACAGTAGACCTCGACTCCTTAGAAAGTGCAAGTTCTTTTGAAAATCTTCGCCACTACCATTTCGTAGCTGAGACTGAGGGAGTGCTGTTTCCTATCCGTTTGGAATTTTCCATTTATGAAAGCGGAAACCAACATGCGAAGTAAAATATCGAAAGCTCTGCCTTTGCACTGCGTATAAATGAACAGCATTTCGGGAGAGCTGGAAGGACTTTATTTATTTGCTACATCGACAATGCTGTCGTATTTTTCATTACTTTGAATAGTATTTTGAGATTATTACGTTTATTTTCAGTTCAGTCATGCGGTGCTCTACTGGTAGCTCCGGGAGCAGTTAAATATCCTCCCGGAAACAATTATTTGGATGGAGTCACGGTAACGTTCACCTGTAAACCGGAGTACTTTATTCATGGCAGTGCCCAAAGGACATGTGTTAATGGATCGTGGACACCAGGATGGCATGTTTGGTGCAGATGTGAGTTTTCTTCGAGTTCTTCACAAGTATATCATTCTGGATCATCGTTCTGTTAAGCTTACTGGAGCTGGAGAACTGAGCAGAATGAGCCGGAAATTTAAGGGTATCTTTGAGAAGTCTCCACTATCTGCTGGTTGAATATATACGAATACACTTGGCAACTGTCGTATAAAGGGCAAACACCTTGTCTCTCGATAATTCCATTTCTAGTGGTATCGGTACCAATCCGAGATTCCGTGCCTGGACCATGTCTGCGGTAGTGCGCCAGTTGTTATTATTCCGGAATCTCGGATTGATACTGATATCGCTAGAAGGGAGATTATCTAAGACAAAGTTTGTCCTTTACACTTAAGTGTAGTCATATTCATATCGCATCATACAATCGTACCATCTTGTAATGCTTCCACTTGTCCCTACGTCTAAAGACGAAGCTACTACCTGAATTTCACTCACGCCCCACTGGATACCCGTGTGGCTAAGAACTTTGACCCGCCCTTTTTGGAGCGTAAGTGTTATTTCGGCGTAGTATCTTTAAATACATTAGGAATCTGAACCCTATTTGCGAAGAGCTTCTGAATTCCCGAACATGAAACATTTCCTAATGAGTACGTTCAATGCCTCATATTGATTGGTTAAAGTGGAAGCCGCCGCGCAACCGCGCCGCACATTCTGCGACAAAAATCGTGCGCGATTTCACGATTTTTCTCAGTATTTTTGTATTTGCTTGTAGATCCGATCTCGTTTCAAGCTCCTCTTATGTTAGTGATCGATCAAAGGCAAATCATCGAAGCTCTTTTTCTCCCTCTCGTAGAGCTGCCAGTTTGACACCGGAATGTTTCAGATCGTTCTGTCGAAATTGGACTGAAATGGATGACCGGAATACTGTCATCGGTTGCGATTCTGCTGTTTATCACTGCCATATTTTTCGGTTGTTACATGCGGCGTATTGCACTCCACCCGGAAACTGGAATTACATTTCGAAAACCGCAACACAGGTAAGAAAATCATTTCATTCCGGGTTCTCGAAGGCTTGATGCTACAGTTGGAGGTTTTTGGTGTGCTAAGATAACCAGTATAACGGCTTACTGTTTAGCTCAATGTCAACAATAGTCTCATCATCACCGCTTCCTCATAAGGAACCCTTGCGGTCATCGTCGACAACTGGTCTGAATCACATCGATGCTAAACGGTCGTCAGTACCAGCGCCATCTATTCTTCGTCACACCCGCTCGCCATTCAGAGCATATGAGACATCTACATGAATAGGACTGAGGGCTGCTATGGGATTGTGTATATATTGATTTTATCTATTGATTTTTTGATGATTGATTGTCACTTTGGCCGTACTGTTTTGTCAATATTAGTGTTTATGAATTCACTTTTGCGACTCAATCGTCGTTAATTTTTGAGGTTGTCCTGCAAAGTTTTCGGTTGTTGATTGAACGTCTGATGATGTTTTTTTTTGAAGTTTCTTCAATTGTAAATTGTAAATAGTGTAACCGAAAATCAATACCTATGAAATCTATAGTTCTGTCTTTATGTTTGAAAAAAAGGATGAATCCGCTTTCGGTTATATCCTATTTCAGTCAACAGTCAGTAATTGTATCTGTGTTCATGAATGATTTGCAGTTAGTGAGCGGTCGCTTGAGGGACGCAGTATAAACGTCAAATGTCGGCTTGCGCGATAACCTGCCATCAAGCACCATTTCGTCGACCCAATTTTAGTGACAAGGTATGGATAGATTTATTGGAATGAATTTAATTTAAGTACATGATTAGGTATACGGTATGGTATGACCCTCGAATAGAGGGACTTTGTTGACGTGGCTGCTTTCATAGTCCACGATTTGACCCGTGAGCGAGCGACGGAGGACTACTTTTCCGGCGGTATCGACCAAGATTCTGTTGTAAACAAGGGGCAAGCGCCGGCCCCGTCGCTCGCTCGCGCTCTCGTAGGCCAAATCGCGGACTATGAAAGCAGCCTGTGCAAGTAGGTCGCGTGACAGCAGACAGTTGAGCAAGAAACTATCTTAAGAACCACTGAATCAGGGAAACCCTAGTCAACCCACACGTAGCGGTGTGCAAATATTTGTTAGTGGTTCACATTTTTTTGTTTATTTTTTCTAGTATTTACCCATATAGAGCGTTGGTAACATTAGGGTCACAGAATGCGATCAGTAGGTGGGAACTGTGGTCTGCTTGGTTTTCTACAGAGTAAAAAGCGAATTTGTAGGCTTCCACAAGGTGGATGATGGTTTGGGCGCCAGTTTTGTCTGCCTTTGAACTCAGTACGTTTTCAGTGCCCGCGATTGTTAGCTAGTTGCCCTGCTGCTTGCTAAATCTTAGTTAGTTGCCTTGCGACATAACGCTCAAATGCATTTTCAATAATTCAGCACAATATTTTACCACCGCTAGCAACCTCTGCCTGGGATATTGCCTAGGTCTACGGCCTCCTCACCCTTACTATGTGAAAAATTTCGAAAAATTTCTTTCGATTGGGCATTTTTATAAATGTTTTTAATATTTTATTTGTTCTGCAAATACGAACAAACTACTGACGTCCGAGTGTCTACCGTACCCTTATTGATGAAATGATACATTCGATCAGTGCTCAGAAAGTGAATTATCACATTATCCAGGATTATAGTAGGCTCTTTATCTCAAATCTTTGAAGAACACCATTACTCCTTCATTACCATCGTGCATGTGGAGTTTATATTCCGGTCGTCCTATACATACATATCCATTTTTCTCTAAAAGCTTCTGATTCGCCAATGATGACGCTTCTGATGTGATTCCATGGAAACCTTTCTTCTGAAACAGTTCTCATTAGTTGTTGGATTCCTCCCAATTGAGATGTCTGTTCCAATCTTATGGGCGGGGCCACCCATATATGACTGTTGACAATTGTCTGTTTTCTTTGAAAGGAATGGACCCATCAAAAGGAACGGCAGCGGCTCCACCCCAATACCTGAGCCTTGTATTTAAGAAAACTTACCTTCAAGTCATCAAAATCGAGTCCCAAGTGTAGTAGGTACTTGGCGATACCTTTTCGTTGATGTACCGGTGAAACGTAAGTGATTTCACGACGTATCACCTTCTGAATCCCGGGATCAGCCCATTTCCAGAATATTTCTTTGGACTCTGCGAGAATATCAGCTGAAATATTCTGATCATTGGCATTCTGAGTACCTTCCAGATTTTTTATCTTCAGTAATAAATTTGGGTTGATGGGGCATCCTTACTGGTCCTACTTCCACGAAAATTGCTTGCTATACGTTTCGAATCGGGTCCTCTGACTACGGGAACTTTTTATCCCTACGGAAATGGTTCCTCCTACCTGTCTGATTGGTTGGATGCTGTTTGTACATGGACTGGGCCAAGAAACCGCATTAAAAAATATCTCAAAAAGGAACAATAAACAGAGAAGGGGCTTTTCCAGGTTTTAAGGTAGTAGCGCGGCGTCACGTCTTTGAAAATGAGCTAAGCCACATTCTCAATTTGGCTCAAAATGTTCATCTGATATTTTCATACGCATGGCTCCCTGGACTGCTATAGGGAAAGAGAGGAAGGGAAATTTTTGGAAAAGGGGCGAGGTCGCTGTGCATCTGCACTTTCTCTACTCGGAGAATGATGTGGTTATGTCGTGCCACCGATACTACAGCGATTTCTATCTACTTGTCTTGCCGTACTCCAGTCATTCTAGTTAGTTGTCTCGTGGTGCGGCATGTCGTTCAGATGTAATGTCCTACGTTTAAACTTGTAATCATCCTTTCAAAACTCATTTCAAATTGTTCCTATTCTATCAAACAAACAGCGCCCTGGTTCCACTCCTCTAGTCTTTCCAGGAGAACGTCCGTTGCGCGCGTCCGTCGAAAGTAGGTCACCCCGCCCACTCCGCGCGCGGCGCACCCTAACTGGGGTCTTGACATGACATTACAGTACCACCAAGTGTCAGAGGAGCGAATGATTTGCATTTATCCGTGTTANCGTTTGTCAAAAATCGCGGGCTGACGCGTCGCATGCGACGACTGCGGCGTGACCTAGATTTGAGGGACGCGCGCAACGAAGCGCACCCAGTCTTTCCATGATTCAAACATTCTTTTCTGAAATGGGAATCTGAGGCTGAGGTTGGAAGCTACGGGACTTCATTGAGGCCTTCTACAGAAGTGTGAATGTTAGTGAAATCCGCCATTCGTAGAAATAAGATTAATAGCTTACTTACAAAGCCTTCGAACGCCAGGATGATCCGATTCTTTGAATGGTATCGGTTCTATGTCCAGTTTATGGTCTCGGTGACCGACGGACAATAATCGAACGCCAATCAATCTGTCGGTGCCCTGGAAATGTTCAGCTTGAGAATTATTCATATTCTATTCATATACAATTTTGCCAATTTTAGTTATTTACTTGATTTTTTTTCAATTGACCTTCAAGAGTGGTAAGTTTTCGGCTGAGTTCCCGAAATATGTTTCTTTTTCGTGGCTGTAACGTTGGTGAAACTCTGGTAGTCACAACCAAAAGTCCAAAGCTAGTTGTGTGTTCTTCCGTAGAGCTTTTATAGTACTGCAATATTGGTCCGGTTATCGAAATGCGCAAAAGTGCTCTAATTGTAAGGAACATCCCGGACAGTCAACCCATAAGAAGCACGTTGGCTATCTCAGGTACTCTTAAGTGGTCGACCGCTCGGAGTTTGTTTGTTTCAGTTTGCCCCCTTCCCCCTCCCCCTTCCCCTCTCCGCCACACAACTGATAACTATTATTTCTCAGTGAAAAGCCTAGGTGACGTCTGGCCGTAGACGGACGAGTTTGATGGCTGAAGCGAGCTAATGAAAGAAATATCTAAACTGACGTGAAGTACCTACATATAACCTACCTTTTCGTGAATTCGGTAAGAGTATGGATGGTGTAAGGCTTTGGCCACGAGATATTCAAAGAGACTTCTAGAAGCATCAGTTGTGATATTCAAGGCCTGAAGTGTACAGTTTCAAAGCAATTCAACTAATCTTTGATAGTTGAAAGGAAATGGCGTGGGCGTTTTGGTAGCGCAGTTGATTGGCGCTGCACCCTGAATACCCTCTGTTCGAGTTTTACCTTCCCAAATGTTTACGCATAGGCCAGATCCTCAAATAAAGTGGCCCCCATTAAGCTACGTTATTGCGAGAGGTGAACCAGTGCTATACACAAGTAGCACGACACCGGGGAAGCATTTATTATCGGTGATTCACTCCTCGTACAAAAATTTTAGCTGGTTTCACTTGGGTGATCCCACGATAATATAATTTACGCTTGGGTGATCCCACGGTCGTGACTGTGGTCACTATGGGGAAATAGAAGTGGGAACATATCCTTGAAAGTGAGGCTATCTCCTGGTCGAAAATTTTTGAGTTTTCTCTCTTAGAAAGTTGGGTAGCTTCCTGAAGTCCTACGCAGTCTGGGGATTGGCCAGAGAGCGGGAGTGAACAAATTTGTTTTTTTTTTNTTTTTTTTGTAACGAAATTCCTCACCTTACTGTGAGGTTCATCAAGAATGAATTCGTTGGCACATAAATCGACAATATCCTTAATATCAACGCTGCTTGCAGGAATGAAATCAAAAGCCGTTGAAGGATCCACCTTTTGATTATCTGAAAAATGTTATCGATAAGGGAACTCGTAATTTTGCTTATCGCATTGCGAGCAGATTTCATGCCAAGGGTGTAGGCGGGGTTGTCCGGTTACTCCGCCCGCCCTGGATCATCCCGCCTACACCACACCCATAGTGGTCGAGTTTTGCATTTCAATAGAGCTGTACTGCGAGCTTACACTGCCGGATTCCATGGATTCCATAGAGACATCGCCGTAGCATTCTCGGAAACTATTCGGTCGATAGAACGACCAAGAATCGACCTGGAATCATCGTTATCAGTTCCGGTGGCTGGGAGGGCGGAGCTGAAGAAATATTGATTACAGCGCTTATTGAACTAATTCAGATAATAAATTTCATTTACAAAGGACGTGGAGGAGCACAAGGAATACTCCTTTACTGTGCTACTTGCAGCTCGGCACCTAGTCCTGCAGTGGTGTGTCGTAAGGTCCGTGTTTACCATTTGTTTGCAAGGTCACTTTTGTACTTTTTCATAACCCCATGACTACTCGTTGCGCCTCCGTCTTTAGCAGCATTAGCAGGGTTCGATGGATCAGTGCAATGTAACCATAATTCTCTGAACTCTTTAGCGACATCACCATGTCTTACCCTTCGACCTCCTAACCAAACTCAGAAGCTGTAAAATTCTTTGGGGATTGAAAGAATAAGGATAAATCCTTGATCTTCATCGATATCGTATCATGGATACGCCCCCACGTCCTATTTCCATCCAGAACTGTAGCGTTTTTGAGCGGGTATGTGGCCTATACAATGATTTGCGGTGTCAGCCAGTGTACAAGCCAGTGCGTTTATCCTCCCAGGTGAGTCTGGCACCAATTAACCGGCCCTGGTGGGATGGAAGGCTTGGTTGGCCTAGGTGGCCATCGATCCGGGATTCGAACCCTGGCACAATACATATGTGATAGCGCGCCATTAGCCACTAGAACAGCTTCGCCCTTCCTCGGAGACATCCAGTTCCCACTAGTCACCTTATGGAGCAATCATTACCACGATTATGAATCAAGTAGAGCCACCTACTGTAGCGCGGGCAGAGCCTTCTATTCATCAGAAGTCGGCAGAGGCCGTTCGCGGAATCATCTGGGAACTGATCTCATTCTGGGTAGATTGACTTGAACATCTTCTAACGCTTGTTGGTCATTGTGTAGGGCAATTAGGCAATCAAATGCCACTGGAATCTCAAATGGACGTCGGTTACACGGCGCATCTCAGGAAATAAATGGCTTTTTAGGCTTTTATCAAAAAGCAAATCTCACATGAGAAAAACGGCTTCCAGATTAGTTTTCTAGGATCAAATGCCCTATTACTCAGCAAATTAAGCCCCATTGGTTATCAACGGTGAAAATTGGTTATCAACGTCTTCCAAGTATTATTTTGGCAATGACAAATGCATGGCGCATCTCGAGCACAGGAAAACAGAGTAAAGGTTCCTACACCTCGAACTGCCCCAGCTAATCAATCGACAAAAATCAATACTTTCATAGAGAATACCGTAAGATTCTGGCAAATAAGTCAATCGATATGATCAATACGCGGTAGTTTTACCAAATACGGTTAATACATAATCAAATATCAGTATTTCATGCGTAAACATGATCGAATATGAGTTAGAAAACTAATCAATAAATTCTCTATAAAGTGATTTTTAAAACTGTTTGAATAATCAATATTTACTAAGTAGTAGTAAAGATGATCGATATAAGTGAAAGGATGATCACTATGTTTATTAGGAGTTAATTTTTACTGTAAATACGTAGGTGCCAATGAAAGCTCATCAAAAATCTATACGGGTGAAGTTACAAGCGGTAAGATCGATTCAAACCAGTTGTTGACTAAAAAGCAACTAATGTTGACAGAAGCATTCTCGGGATCGACTAATTCTCGAGCTCATGTTACCATGGAATTATATTTATTTGCATTGTAATAATACATAGTTAATAAGACTTATTCAGGAAACGTCAGGAGACTGTGAAAAAGGAGGGCGAGGTTGCCAGAATCGATCAGTCTCTGCTGAGATTGTGCCTTGCACAAGGCAAATGCTCAAAATCGCAGTATTGTTTGAAAGGGTACTCGTTTGATGCAATCATTGATAAAGAGCAGTGTCAAAGCAAGTATTTTTGAATCGATTTTGTAATTGTAGCCTTAGATGGATAGGAGACTAGAGGGAAGGTTGATGTTCGAGCCGTTTGAGACAAGTGGAAATCAGTGTAACATTTCTGGGTGACCTAAAAACGGTGTAGGGCTGTCATGGAGACAAGAGGAGTTTGACGGAACAGGTTTTACCCATGATTTACACTGGCTATTTTGCCCTTCATCAATATTAACTGTCAACGATTTAAGACCACAATAGGTCAATAAAGATAACAATTTTACGGTTACCGATCTCCCGATGGGTCTTGATAATGACTGGTGGGCAGGAGATACGGCTATGGTTTTATTAAGGTTTTATTAAGTTAAGCTATGTATCTACCACGTATTCAGATGCATAGGGAACCTTTTTAGAGAGAAAAGATAGTAATTTAATAGGAAAG